CAGTTAGCAAAGAAGCAAAACTACAGAAGCCAAAAAAGCAAGGTTAATACATTTAGAGACTTTCCTAGTCCATAGTTTTTTTGTTGATTTGGTTTTGGTTTTTTGAGACAGGATTTCTCTGTGTAGCCTTAGCTGTCCTGGAACTCACTTTGTAGACCAGGCTGGCCTCAAACTCAGAGAGCTGTCTGCCTCTGCCTCCCGAGCGCTGGAGTAAAGGCATGTGCCACCAATGCCTGGCCTTGGTCCATAGTTCTTTAATGGATTAGGTATTTGTTCCCATTGTGGCAGGTGTTGGGGCCTATATGCTTGAGTTTAAGGTCAGAATGGTGCCTCTAGCATGGTGTCAGTTGTGCTAAGGTTTGGGGGCCCATTACAAATAAAAAAGATCTGGGGGACAGACACAGTGCTCAGCAGTTGAGCACTTGCTACACAGTTATGAGAATCAGAATTTGAGCTCAGTACCTAGATAAGAAGCCAGACATGCTAGGCATACCTATAAACCCTGTTCCAAGAAAAGTAGATAAACCAGGGCCACTGGGGCTTGCTGGCTTTCAGCCTAACTGAGAAAACATGAATCTCATACTCAGGGAAAGACCGTACCTCAAAGAGATAGGCAGAAAATGACAGAGGGCAATCCCTAATCTCCTCTTCTGGCCTTCACATATGCACACAGGCTCACATAGTTGCACACATGTGTACACACAGAGAAAATAATAATTTTTTGAAATCTGGTAAAAAAAAAAAAGATAACAAAAACGACTAAAGGCAACCTCTAGTTAAACAGATTAAAAACCACTATGCTAATTATATGGAAATAAGGAAAAAGTCAAATAAAAAACAAGATGGTAGACCTTTTCCTAACCTTACCAATAATTGCATTAGCTAAAAATGGTCTGAACACACTAATTAAAGTGCAGACACTGACAACTTGAATCTAAGACCAATCGCACGCCGTCTACAGGTGACTCACTTTAACATCATAACATAACATAGCTAGCATGTATGACGCTCTGGAATAGATACCAACACACACACACACACACACACACACACACACACACACACACACGCACAATACATACACGCATACATAGATGTGTATGTGGTATCACATATATTAAGAATAACAATATGGAAATGTGTGTATTCTACTACTAATTAACTGGAATCTGGGAGAGCCATTCCTGAGGTGAATTGCCCCTATAATCTTAACTCCTAAGGAAGCTTAGGTAGAAAGATCCCAAGGTCATCAATGGGAGCTACAGCCTGAGTGCAAAGCCATCCTGAGCAATTTAGCAAGGCTAAAGAGGCTATGGACATAGCTTAGTGATAAAGAGATTGGCTGCATGTGTGAGACTAGCTCTGGGTTCAGTCCCCAGCACTCAGCAAAGAATAAAGAAAGTAGTAACTAGAAAAATAGTAAAAAAGAAAAAAATAAAGAGACGTGGAAAAACTATGCTGTATAACATCAGAAAGTACATTTCAGAGGATAAAATACCATCAGAATTAAAGTACGCTGTTTAATAAGGATAATGGAATTTATCCACCAAGAAAATATTGCCATCTCAAATGAATATTATATGCCTATTAGCAACATTTCAAAATATATGAATCAAAACCTAATGTAGCAGGGCGGTGGTAGTGCACGCCTTTAATCCCAGCACTTGGAAGGCAGAGACAGGCAGATCTCTGTGAGTTCAAGGCCAGCCTGGTCTACAGAGCAAGATCCAGGACAGGCATCAAAACTACACAGAGAAACCTTGTCTCAAAAAAAAAAAAAAAAAAGAAAAGAAAAGAAAGAAAAAAACCTAATGTAAAAGTAAGGAAACATAGATAAACCCACCATTTCAGTAAGAGCTCTCATAACACAAAGATCTTTAGAATAAGTTTTTAGAAATCTAAAGTATATCCCTAAAAACCAATAGAACACTAAGAAATAAAAATAGGAAATTTAAGCTAAACAAAAATAAAAGTGAATTATACCAGGACTTGTCAAAATGACTAATCAGTATTTCAAAGGAACTCTGTAATACTTGTGGTATTACCAGAAAAAAAGTAGTTAACTCAATAGCATCAGCCTCTACCTTAAGAAACTGGACGGAAAAGAGAAAAGTAACATAAAGTAGATAGAAGAGGTTAAAAAAAATACCAAGTTTTAAAAACAGGAAAACAATAGGGAAATCACTGAAATCAAAATGTGGCCTTTTGAGAGCAATTAAATTGCTAAGCCTCCAGCCAAGCAGATAAGAAAAAAGTGCCAGAGACAAACTGCCAACATAGGGAAAGAGAAAGAAGTCACAGTTATAGATTCAGCAAATAACTCTGAGTTTACATGATATTTGAGAATTTCTTGAGAGACACAAATTACTGAAGTTCACTCAAGAAGAATAGATGACCAAAGAAGTTGTACATGCTCAATAGGTGTAGAAACTATAGCTGAAAACGTATTGAGGCAGCGGCTACAAGAGGACACACACCAACTGGAAAAATCACCTCATCAGTGAACTCAAACAAAAAAGTTAAGGAGGCACAGCACAAATTCTATAAAACTCTTTCTGTAGTACCTTTACGGTAAATTCAGAAAGACATTTTATTAAAAAGTAAAACTCCAGACAATCAACATACCTTATAGATTTAGATGCAAATGTTCAAAACAAATTTTAGCAAACTGAATCCAACAGTCTATTAAAGGTATCATTAGGAAATGAAATTTATTTCAAATATGTAGGGCTTCCTTAACAACTAAAAATCAACTAAGGCTATTTATGAGATAATAAAACGAGAAACAATATTTTATTATGTTGTAGAATAATATCTTAAGGTGGATTACTTTTGTTTATGTTGCATTTGTTTAACTGTGAAGCTGTGTTACTGTGCTTGTCTAAAACATCTGATGGTCTAATAAATAACTGAATGGCCAATAGCGAGGCAGGAGAAAGGACACACAGGGCAGGCAGAGAGAATATATAGAAGGAGAAATCTGGGAAGAAGAAGTAGGCAGAGAAGGAGGAGGACTCCAGGGGCCAGCCACCCAGCTACATAGCAAGCCATGGAGTAAAAGTAAGATTTACAGAAGAGAATGGGAAAAGCCCAGAGGCAAAAGGTAGACAGGATAAGTTAAGGAAAGCTGGCAAGAAACAAGCCAAGCTAAGGCCATGCATTTATAAGTAAGAATAAGCCTCTGTGTGTGATTCCTTTGGGAGCTGAGTGGCACCCACCACCACCACCAAAGAGACAAAGAGCAAAAACAGCAAACGACATTGTTATCTCAAAGGTACCAAAAATTTTGTTTTGCAAATTCAAAATCCATTTCTTATATAAATTCCTAGCAAACTGGGGTTATAAGAAAATATCCTTATTCTTTTATAAATGATATTTAAAAATTAAAACCCACAACCAACATTATAAAATATGGATGTTTTACTCTTATTATCATAAACAAGACAGATATAATTGCTTTTCATTACTTCATTTCAACATTATATCTGAAATTCTAACCAATGCAATCAGATAAGAAAAAGTTCTTAAAGCATCTAGATGAATGAAAAAAGAAATACAACTGTCTTCATTAATAAATAGCATAGCATGAAGCAGAAAATATGACAAGAAATACAGGAAAACTAATAAATGAGTTTAACAAAACTCCAAGTTACAAAATCAGTATATCAAAATCAATTGCATTTCTTCATACTGTCCATGGAAAATCAAACATAAAACCAGAAAACAGTATCATTTACAATGCATTAAAAAGCATGAAATACCTAGAGACAAATCTGATGAGAGACATGAGAATGCCTCAACTACTCCTAAACAGTAAAAAAAAAAAAAAAAAAAAAAAAAAGCCTTGGAAAGTTAGACCAGAATTAATGAGGAGGTAGATCCTGCTCTTGAATGGGGAGATTTGCTATTATACCATGTATAGAGTCCAAGATTCAGGATTACCCCGAAAGCGTAGAGGAAGAGGCTCTGAAGAGTCAAGGGCAGCCGCTGTCATTTCATGACCAGTTCTGTGTACACTGATGACAGGCCGGAGATGAGGCAGTCGAAGATGAGGAACGCAAGTCCCAGTGGAGTGATATGCAAGGGCATGGGATGGGCTCTGGCTGCTGACAGGGGCCAGGAAGGGTGTTCACAGGTTCCTGAAAGTCGCCTGATGCAGCCAGCAGCAGCAGCAGTTCCAACCCCTGACGTGCAGAGGCGATGCCTAAGGCAGAGGCAGTACAACAGAGCTGTTCTTCCAATCTTCAGATTGCTCAGCACCTGATAGGTGCTGGGGTCCATGTAACGCTGCAGGTAGATCACCAGGTTGTTGTTGGCGCCATAGAGCAGGGCTGATAGTGCAAAAGGTGCAGCCTGGCGCCAGGGTGGTGTGCCCTGGGGCCATGATTGCCAGCCCACCAGGAAGGAGAAGGCGCATAAGAGGAGTTTGGTCAGCTCAGTGAGTAACACAGCTGAGGAGGGCCGGAAGGGCACTCGGCCATCCACGTTGCACAGTGCTAAGAATGGTGCATGAGCACCATACTTGACCGTGGACAGGAGTAGCGTCAGGGTCCAGCGAGCCTGTCTTGGACGGGCAAGGCCTGGCATACCCCCATCTTCTACACTCATGGCCCACACCAGACCCTGGGTGCCCTGTGTAGCTAGCAAGGGACAGAGGAACTGGGACACATCGGAAGGAAACTGGGTGTAGAACTGTGGGACATCACCAGAGAGAATGCTGAGGATCAGAGTCAGTTGCATACTCAACAGTTAGGGCTTGAAGAGAGGGCTCATGTCCCACAGTTTTGGGGTTAGTCCCGCGGAACTAGGGATGGAAGGCGTGCAGGCTGCAGGCTGACAAACCACTGCCTACTCTCTGCAGGAAGAAAAGCAAGGATGAAAGAGTCAGGAGAGGTGGAGACAGCAAATGAACAACAGCAGGGGGAACCAGAGAGAGAGTCTGTGATAGAAAGGCCTCTACCTGAAGGCCCAACGTGCTCATCCTGCCTTCCCCAGAGGGTCTAGTCAGGCCCCTTAAGTAGTGACCTAATGTAGTTCTTCAGTGTCTTCTCCACGTTGGGTACAGCGTATGTCTGAGCTGTATAGATGCCAATGCAAGTGCCCACCGCAAAGCCCAATACTGCTGATGCCCTCAACCTGGCCACCACATAGCCTGCCAGGAATCCCTTGAGGAATGGGGAAGACAAGAGTGAGCCATCCTGACCTACACCACTGTTGACTTCATCGTCCACAGGCTGCTGTAGGTACTCCAGCTGCTTCTTGAGAAATGTCAGGTCCTTAAGCTTGGGCAGAGAATCCCAGGACAGGGGAGAGGCTGGCTCCAGCAGACTTGACCCAGTCCCAAGCCCTGCTCAATTTTATCAGAGGCTAAGAACTAGGTGAGCTTGTCATCCACCATCTTTCCCTGCCAAATTGTTGCCGAGTTTTCATTTTTTGATGGTGGATAAGCACATAAAAATATATTTAATAGTGAAAGTATAAATTTCAATGTGAATTGAAGTCCATTGAGTTGTATAATCTTTGAGTTTGGTTAACTTTGGTTTATGATATTTTTATTTGCAAAATTTTTATAATAATAAAGTTTAAATTTTTTATTTTAAAAAATTTAAAAAATCATACCTTTCAAATTTTAGCACTTTTGTTCTTCTAAACACTTTTAAGAAAATGAAAAAATAATTTAAACTATGAGACTATACTTGTAAATAATATAGCTGATAGAGATGGCTCAGTGGTTAAGATCACTTTCTGCTCTTCCAGAGGACCTGAGTTTGATTCCTGCACCCACATGGTGGCTCACAACCATCTCTTATTCCAGTTCCAGGGGACCCACACCCTTTCTGGCCTCTGTGGACAACAAGCAATGCATACAGTGCACAGACATACATGCAGGCAAAACATCTGTATACATAAAATAAAAAATGTTAAGAATGGAGCTGTGGTGTTTGAAAGAAAATGGCCCCCAAAGGGAGTGGCACTATTCTGAGGTGTGGCCTTGTTGGAGTGGGTGTGGTCTTGTTGGAGGAAGTGTGTCACTGTGGAGACGGGCTTTGAGGTTTTATACATGCACACTTAGTGTTTTGGACCACTTCCTGTTGCCTGCAAGTCAAGATGTAGGGCACCAGGCTACTTCTCCAGCACCATGTCTGCCTGTATGCCACCATGTTATACCATGATGATAATGGTCTAAACCTCTGAAAATGTAAGCCACCCAATTAAATGTTTTTCCTTTATAAGAGTTGCCATGTTCATGGTGTGTCTTCACAGCAATAGAAACCTTAATTAAGACAAAAGCTGATAAGGGGCTTTTAACAGATATATATAACTCGACAAAACTAAAAAAAAAAAAAATCAAGGCCTGGGCGTCACGATGCATGATTGTAATCTCATAAATCAGAATGCTGAGGCAGGAGGATCCTGAGTTTAGTGTCAGCTTGGACTACATAGGGACGTCCTGTCACATGGGAAAAAAAATGTTCTTTTAATGGGAAAACATTTGAGCAGACATCTTCCCAAAGATAATGTATACATGACATATAAACACATGAAAAGATAAACAGCATCATTAGTCAGTAGGGAAGTGCATATTAAATCATGATTGATCAAAATGCAGAGTTGTGGAGTCTAGCCCCAACAGATAAATCTATAAAACAACTCCCATACTTAAAACTGAGGGAACACTGCAGAAGAGAAGCCAAAAAGATTGTCAGAGCCAGGATCCGGGAGTTCTCTGTGAGACTGTGTCTTCTTGTAATGTCAGAAGCTACACCCATGAAGTCTCACCAACATGCCTGCCTAAACAAGAGCTGAACCAGGATCACACCAACAGACATGCCAATGTGGATGGGGTAAAAAAAAAAAAAAGCCCATGAGGTCTCAACCCTACACAAAGAACTACAGGCAAATATGGAATGTTGAGAGTGTGGAAAAGGGTCTTCCCCCAGGAAAAGCACACCTTTCAGATTGATGCCAACAACTCCATGTGTAAATCTCCAACTGTCCAGATCAAGTCACAGACTCACCCACAGGAAAAGCATATCTCTGGCTACATGGTGATGAAGGTCGGGAGTGAGAAGAAAGAACTGACAAGAAGCACATAAAAACCTCCAGACTGTATGGAGTATCTCGCTATGGGAATGATAGGAGTGTACATATTCCAAACTTACCCAGTGTGGAATTTAAATGCATACAATTAACTGTATTTCCATTGTTCCTCACTATAGCTATTTAAAGTCTATAAGATGTTGTTATTTGTTTTTAACTTTTCAGCTCTTTTGGGGGCCCTCCACCCAGCTCCCAAATAAATTACACACAGAGACTTTTCCTTACTTATAAATCCCTGGTCATAGCTTGGCTTGTTTCTTGCCAGCTTTCTTTAACTTTAAATTTTCCTATCACCCTTTGCCTCTGAGCTTTTCCCATTCTTTTACTTCTGTAAATCTTACTCTGTGACTTGCTGAGTACTTGGGTGGCTGGCCCCTGGAGTCCTCTTCCTTCTCTGGCTACTCCTTCCCTCCCAGATTTCTCCTTTTATATATTCTCTCTGCCTGTCAGCCCACCTATCCTTTCTCCTGCCTCACTACTGGCCATTCAGTTCTTTATTAGACCATCAGGGGTTTTACACAGGCACAGTAACATAGCTTCACAGAGTTAAACAAATGCAACATAAACCAAAGTAACACACCTTAAAATAATATCCTATAACAATAAGATGTAACTTTTCTCTTCCAAACAGTTTCGACAATATTCTTCATATAAGCCCTGTGTGTCTCCTATAAAGTTATTCCTGTACATTGCTTGGAATTTTGCCATAGGTGAGACCTGTTTACTAGATTTTCAGATTGGTTTAGGACTACTTATAAGAAAACTTTCATTTTGGTTTTGATATAGGATCTCCTATGGCTGTGTCACCAGGATGGACTTGAACTCTTGTCTCAGCCTCCTGAGTACTGTAATTAGAGGTTTGAGCCACCACACCTAGCAAAACTTTTTATGTTTGCTGCTATTAGAATTGGTAATGCAGTGAAACATTCTTTTATGTGACACCATTTGATTGCTATTTTCCTTTTAGGGTTTAATAAATCTAGGCAAGAACGTTTAAATACTGAAATACAATATCTTAATTAGAAAAATTAGCCACCCACAGAATCAATTGACCAGGCCTCAGGGGTGCTCACAGAGATCATGTGAGCCTGATCTAGCTTCTGACCTAGGTCAAATCTAGGCTTTGAGCTAGGGTGGGAACACTCACTGACTCTCTTGTCTACTTAGGGGACCCTTTTCCTCCTATTGGGTTGCCTCATCCAGCCTTGATATGATGGTATGTACTTGGTTATATTGTAGCTTGTTATGGCATGTTTGGTTGATGTCCCTGGGAGGCCTTCTCTTTTCTGAGAGGAGATGGGAGGGGGGCATTGATCTGGGGGAGAGGGGAGTTGGGGGGAGAGACTGGGGGAAAGAGAAGGGAAACTGATGTTGGGATGTAATATATGAGAGATTAAAAGATAGATAGATAGATGGATAGATAGATAGATAGATAGATGATAGATGATAGATTATATATAGAAGATAGATAGTAGATGATAGGTAGATAGATGATAGCTAGGTAGATATATCAATAGATAGATAGATAGATAGATAGATAGATAGATAGATAGATAATAGAAAAATTAGCCAGAAAAAAAGCCTCTAACAGACAATAAAAGGACTTCAAACAGAGGTAAGAATTTGATACTATCCCTGTTTGGGTTGCCCCTTATCAAAGCCAATGGGCCAAATCCATAGAAGACTAAAGGCATATTCATATATTCTCAGGCCTTTCCGTGATATTTCAAAAAATAGTCTTGTGCACTGATACATAAAGTCCCTAGCAGGGCCCCTGTCACCAACCTGTTAAAACACATCCTCAGGCCTGACACTTGGGCAACACTTGAGGAAAATGGACTATTTTTTTTTTAGGACCTATTATGTGATAAACACAGTTCTTGTGATTTAACTACAGAAATGGGTAGCTCAGGACACCAGTCCTATAAGCAGTAAGTATTATAGTATTCAATCAACAGCTGGAGAAGAAATATAAGACAGAGGCAATTAACTGTGTCCAGGAAAGGCTCGAGGGTGAGTACTATACAGTGGTAGAGAACTCATTTAGTGTGAGCAAGGCCCTGGGTTCAAACCTAAGCACCAGAAGGAAAGGAGAGATGGAGGGAAGGAAAGAAAGACTAAAGGAAAGGAGGGAGGGAGAAGGGGACAGAGAGAGGGAAAGAAAGAAGGGAGAGAGAGGAAGAGAGGGAGGGAGAGAAGGAAAGATATAATAGAGGGAGAGAGGGAGGGAGGGGGAGGCAGAGAGAGAGAAAGACCAGGAGCTTTCTGCACTGAGTAACAGGCCTAAGAGAGGTCCTCAAATCCTAGGGACAGTGGGTAGGAAAGTTGAGACATAAGAGAATACAGTAAATGGACTATATACATGGATCAGCATCTTATTTTTGCCTCTGCCATGCATGTGTTCCACTCCGTAGTTAAGCTCGCAGGACCAGAGCCTATATTCTTGTTCCCAGGATGGTTTCTGGCACGTGAAAACTGTTAACATCTTTCAGTTAATGTAGCAGTTAGAAGTAGTGGGTTTGGGGCAGTAAGTAATTGAATAAGTAAGTGAATAAACCACACTATGAGTTTGCTATCCTCTCTTTTCCAGACAAGGAATACTAAACGAAGGCAAAGCTGAGAACAGAAATGCAAAAGCTAATCCACAGTGCACTCAAGATGTCTACAGTCTGAATAACAAGATTAAGGATCAGTCCAGACAGTGCCAGACCCACAGCAGAAGGTCTACCCTTGTGTTTCACTCGATGACATTCTAGAACATTTTACTGTTCAGACGTGGAGTGCTTTGTAATCCACAATGACTGGCATTGTCAGATTTTGAAGGAAAACTGGAATTTGGCATTATGGTTTTGCTAATTATCACTTTAGGCAACAGCTCCTTCGAATGTCTGAGGAAACAGCTGATTCTTCTCTCCCCAGAAGCCTTTGCTTACAAAACTTGGCTTACATCAGAATGCCGATGCAGATTACATCAGTGTGCAGATTTCAGCCTAAGAGGGCCTTGGTCAGAAAAGCTGACATTGTGTAACTCTCAAAATCCAGGCTTTCTCAAACCATATTTGGGATCACAAAGGAAGACTAATAATAACAACAACAACAATAATAAATAATTCTTTCAGGTAAAAGGAGTTATAGTACTGTCCAAGAGAACAAAGTGGAGTGGAAGGCGGCCTAAAGCCGTAACTCACCCATTTCCACCAGGACCCCTGTTCTAGGGCCTCCCGACGACAGGCCCATTGGTGTGCACTTTGCTCTCCACTCTGTGACCTTCCACACAGCAGCAGAGCACCAGTCTTTTGAAGGCAGGACTAACTCCATAGCCCTCTCCTCTCTAGATAGCTTATGAGGCCCCAGCCTTAGATATCAGCTATTCTTACGCCTTGTCTGTCTAGATAAACCACTCATTATGTATCTATAGGCATATATTTTAATATTGGCATAACTCAATTATGCTCACTCCAGAGGAAAATACCAGCATAGCACCCTCTCTAACGTTTTCTCCTCTATCAGTGCTGTTTCTCAGTTTTAGAAAAAGTTCCAAATATAGTTGTTTTGACCACATTACAAAGAAGACATCTTTTCCTCATCATACAAATTATTAAAAATGGTTTTCTGCTCAATGTTCACTCTTGCCATGGGCTATTCATGTCAGTACATCTGTAGCAACTCCCAGCTTGCCAGACGTTCTTCTGTGTTTGTATTATTTCTTTTGGTTCCTCTATGACTTCTATCTAGCACAGTTTTTTTCTATGACTTACTACACTGGTACTGAGCTAGTTACCATGAAATCATGGAAGCTTCTTTGCCTAACCTAGAGGGACTCTGATTCAGCAGCCCATGAGTCTGTATCTGTCATCTTGAGAGGTAGGGCCAGGATTGGAGCTACTGCCTCACTGTATCTGTGTGTTTCCTATTTCTGTGGTCTGGATGAGAAATGTCCCCATGTCCCCATGCCCCATGTCCCCATGTCTTCACGTCCCTATGCATCTGAGCCTTGGTCCTCAGCTGGTGATTGTGTCTCAGGAAGTAGAGTCTTTTAGAGGAAGTACATCCCAGGGGTAGGCTTTGAGAATTTACGCCTCTTCCCACTTTCAGTTTGGGTTTTCCAATTCCTACATGTGGTCAAAAATGTAATCTTCCCATTCCTACTGTCTGCTGCCACACATCCTCTGCCATTACAGACTCTCCCTCTGGAGACAAAGGCGGAAATGAACTCTTCCTCCTAAAGTTACTTTTGGTTTTATCACAGCAACAACAAAATAATTAATATACTTACCATTCCCAAGCAACCTTCGACACCTCCATTTCTCACAACTCTTTCAACAGAAACGTCCCTTATACGTTCATGTATAGAACTATGATCAAGTCTAGCTTCTCAAACATCCTCATCATCAAGCCAACATGTGACATTCCAAATGTTTCACTCACTCCCAGCCTTTCCTTGTGATCTGTGCTAAGATGTCAGGAGAAAATGTGCATTTCTTCCCCCTTCCCTCACCACCAGAAGCACATAAACTCCACTAACTACATCCTGTGTCAGAAAGAGGCCACTCTGTGGAGATGAGTATCATACTTCTCTTCACAGTCATCACACATAGAAATGGAATCACACAGTATTTGTCTCTTTGGGGGTGCACTATTTCATTTAGCACAAGGCCTCAAGGTTCACTCATGTTATAGCTTGGGTCAATGTTCATCTTTTTAAAAATCAGCTAATTGTGTGCGTGCGTGTGCGTGTGCGTGTGCGCGTGCGTGCGTGCGTGCGTGCGTGCGTGCGTGTGTGTGTGTGTGTGTGTGTCAATGTAGCCATCCCACAGTATCTGTGGGATACTGATTCCAGGAGTCCCGGACAGAGGTACTAAAGTCTGTGAATGCGCCTATAAAATATTATAGCATTTACATACAACCTACTACAATCTACTCCATATGTTTTAAGTAATATCTTTATTACTTACATTTCCTAATACAGCGGAACTGCTATATATAAACAGTCATTGTGCTACACTGCTTAGGGAATAATGACAAGAAAGTAGTCTGGATATATTCAGGACTGTCGCAGTTTTTCAATTTTTTTTTAAATATCTTAAACCAGAGTATGTAATAGGACTAATTGTATTTGGTTTCAAAATTTAAGGCTCTTATATGTAACCTGTTGTGGAATATTGTTTAACTAGGCAAAGATATGCTGCATTTGTTGATGCTGCAATTGTTTAACTTTGTAAATATGTGTTGCAATTGTGTTAATCAAATAAAATTAACCTGGCCCCAGAGAGGCAGGATTAGCAACTGGTTGACAGGAAGTAGCAGAGAGGAGCGTAGTGTGGGTTTTTTTAGTCGGGGCACTGTAGAAGGAGAGAGGCTTCTGGGGTGCCAGCAAAGAGAGAAAGTTAGCCAATTGCCCCTCTGACTCTCTGAGCTCCCAGGTTTTCACCCTAGCCTTTGAGTCTTGAGTTTTATTAGAACTATAGAGATTTAGTTAAAGCTCTGGGAGAACAGAATTCCCCCCGAGGCTATAGCCTAAGCAGCTGGGCCTTTAGCAGTTTAAAGTACAGCCCCTGTGATGAAGGTAAAACAGCAGTAACAGAAGTAAGAAAAAATTTTAATGACCACCAAAGAAAACACACCCTTCTCCCCACTGTCCCCACCCACCAGACTTGACAGAGCCCTTCTCTCTCCCATCTGAGCAGAGAGGTTGTGGAGGGGCCCATGCTTAGCTTCTCTAAGCCTAAATGAACTTTTTAATCTGTAATAGACAAATATCCAGAATGCCACAGATTACTAGAGACCTGTGAGGGGAGGAGGCTGGGCTAAAGATGTAGCTCAGTGACAGAGCACTTATCTGGTATGTGCAAGGTTCTGGGATTGATTTCTAGCATTGCAAAATCAAGCAAAAATGAGGGGAAAAAACAGAGAAAGCAGACAGGTAGACAAGCATAGAGTCAAAGACACACAAAGAAAACAGTGTTCAGTAACTATCTTGATTGTTTGCTGTGGGTTATATTCGAATTCCAGTTATGGTCAAATTGCACACACACAGGACTCTAGCCAGCAGGAAAAAGCTTAGGAGACACCAGCATGGAAGCCTTTGTAGAGTCAGAAAGGGAACAGAAGGAGTGCTACTGGTTTGGGGCGGGGGGGGGGGGGGGGGGGGGGGGGGGGGGTGTTAGCAATAAATAGTTTAAGAACTAATCTAAGGACTGAGAATGTAGGTCAGTTGTAGGGCATTTGCCTAGCATGCATAAGGGCTCATAAAGAATAAAACTAGTAATAGGAGGAAACTTAAAAGGCAAATGACTAGCGCTTCCTTTTTACTGGTGCTCACAACCTTGTCAACATCCCCACACCAAAAGAAGATTAAGACACCTCAGGGCTGGAGATGCATGGCTAGGATGATTTTTACTCTGACGCTAGAAGTGACAAGTATATTTATGATTTAAATAGAAACTCAAAGTCCCACACTTCAAGGTGACCAAAAGCACCAAACCGCCGGGGGTGGTGGCGCACGCCTTTAATCCCAGCACTCGGGAGACAGAGGCAGGCGGATCTCTGTGAGTTCGAGGCCAGCCTGGGCTACCAAGTGAGTTCTAGGAAAGGCGCAAAGCTACACAGAGAGAGAAACCCTGTCTCGAAAAACCAAAAAAAAAGCACCAAACCAAGGAAAGAGGAAAGGAGCTGAGTCACCAACTCCCAACTCCTTGAAGCTAGGATGCAGAAGAGCAGACCTCTCCTGGAGATAGAGATGGAGGTGAGGATTCAGAGGATGCATAGCAAGAAAAGCCCCGGAAGCCCCACCTCCCATAGTGTTCAGTGACTTCCTGAGCCCAGAAAGGGGGGCAAGGACAAACCACAAGCCCACAGCCTTCTCTAGGCAGAAATACGATTTGGCACAAGAAGCAGCTTGTTATAAAGATGCCATCCGTGGAAATGGGGACTGTGAGTTAAGTTCAGCTCAGAAATAAACAACGTCCCAATTCTGCACTGCTGAGTGGTGTGGGATGTAAGATGGGAAATCCGCCCCACTGACAGGAAAGGTCGTTATGTATCTCTGACGTCATCATTTCTGGATGACGCACATCAATGGCAGTAGAGTGGTAAATCAAATGAAGAGAGCCTTTGTAATTGATCAGGGAAGGAATCTGGGTCCACCATTCAGTACCTGAGCAGGGCTCTCTGCTCTGATATAAGCCAGACTGTGACACTCAGCTCGTGCAGTGCAGTGCCCAACACGGGCATTATGGATGACAACTGATGGGAGCAGACGCAGAGACCCACAGCCAAACATTAGGCGGAGCTCGCAGAACCCTGTGGAAGCGGGGGAGGAGGATGCAGGAGCCAGAGAGGGCAAGGACACCACAAGAAAACCCACAGAAACGACTAAGCAGGGCTCAGAGGGACTCACAGAGATTGAAGCAATCATCAGGGAGACTGTGTGGGACTGACCTAGGCCCTCTGCACACATGTTATTGTTGTGTTAGCTTGGTGTTCTTGTGACACTCCTGACAGTGTGAGTGGAGGTGTCTCTGACTCTTTTGCCTGCTTTGGGGTCCTTTCCTCCTTCTGGGTTGCCTTATCCAGCTTTGTAACTTGATATGCTGCCTTAGATGGTTATTCTTGGGAGGCAGAGGAGATATTCCTGGAAGAAGAAGTGGATCTGGGGGTGGGGGCTAGGAGGAGAGGAGGGAGGGGAAACTGCTGGGATGTAATACATTTAAAAAGTATAAGTTGAAAAAGAAAAATAAATAAAAGTAAAACCTTTTAAAAAGCACTTCTCTTCTCAAAATTTGTATTTTTCAATTGATACTTACTTGGTTTTTGCTTTTTTGTTTTGCTCTGTTTTTCCCCCCATTCCCATTCTCTATTCTGATCTATTTCTCTGATTTATAGAAATTTGGATCTGGATGAGATTTAGAAAGAATCAGGATTAACATCTTAGTCCTCTAAGTGAGAACACACTGGCAGGGCTGAGGTAGAGCTAGAACAAGAGGTTTTTTGTTTGTTTTTTGTTTTTTGTTTTTTTTTGGTTTTTCGAGACAGGGTTTCTCTGTGTAGCTTTGCGCCTTTCCTGGGACTCACTTGGTAGTCCAGGCTGGCCTCAAACTCACAGAGATCCGCCTGGCTCTGCCTCCTGAGTGCTGGGATTAAAGGCGTGCGCCACCACCGCCCAGCTCTAGAACAAGTGTTTTAAGTCTGTTTCAGATTCTCACTTACTCTGGGAGACACATCCTCTATCCCCAGCA